TGTGCACTTCAGCCAGGAGGAGTGGAGGCACCTGGACCCTGCCCAGAGACGCCTGTACCAGGACGTGATGCTGGAGATCTACAGCCACCTCTTGGCAGTGGGTGAGCACAGCTGGCCTGGGGACCCAGGATGAGCTCCATGGAAAATATTTCCCACTTCTTTTTGTACAACATGATGGGATATCAAAAGTGTGTCATGGCTTTTCCCCATGGATTGTCCTGATAATACACTACGTTTTGACATGCTAAGTTAATTATTCTGTGCCCACTATAAAACGTTGATTTTTTTTTTTCCAATCAGCCAGTGGCAAAGATCATTGGGTGATCTCTAAAGCCTAAAAGCTACATATTGAGCAGAAATTCTTGCAATTTGCAGGGTACCCCATTCCCAGCTCTGGGGCCTTCTTCAGGATGAAGACAAGAAAGGAGACAAGGATGGGAGAGGCTACGTCCCCACGTCAGCCGTGTTGGTGTCAAGGTTAGTGAATCTGACCTCAATGGAGGTCGATGTCATTAGACGGCCATTATCATTCATCCATTCTCCTAGTGATGGGTACCTAGTTTGCTTCCTACTGTCACTCTTACACTGCCACAACTTATAGTGCAGAACATTGTGAATATCTTGCCTCCTACCCCAACTCTCTACAACTGATGTTATGTTGTGTAAATACGGACTAGGAGTGAGGATAAGGCTCGTAGAGGTGAACAGTGCCTCATCATGGAGGTTACCTAAACTGACTAACTCATCCACATTCTCCAGAAGGTCTACACGTAGATTCATATTTGTACCCCTTGTCTACAAACAACAACAAAAAGCACATGAGGGAGACTTAGTGGTGGTTGATAGTATAGATGAATGCATTGGCGGATAAATGTGTTGGTGGATAAACTCTTTGGTGGATGAATGTATTAGTGGATAAATGTGTTGGTTAGGAAGGAAACTGACCTTTTTTATGTTAACCATGGTTAGGGCTGGGAATGTATATCTCAGTGGTAGAGTACCAGCCTGGCATGCAAGGAGCCTTGGGTTCATTCCCCAGTGTGACAGAAGTATAGGCAGACAGACAGATGTGTCACCACTGATAAGATACATCAGTGAGGTATAAAGCTTTTAGCATAGTTGGTGATAGTTTACATTGAATATTTTTTAAATTCGTTTCATTGTCATGTTCTTATTATATCTTATTCTATCTGTCATTATCTTTTTTTCCTCTCCTGCTCTTTTCCCCACTGGCCTCTTCCAGTCCCCACTTACTGGTCCCTTTCCTTGCCACAAACTTTCTGCCTGCATGCTACATGTGTTCACAGTCCTTTTTCTACTTTCGCTGTTCACACACACGTGCAGACATACCTATGGATGCACATACAGAAACTAAAATCTGGAGTCTACATGCAAGAAAAATGTGGTATTTGTCTGAGTCTCACTTAATTCCTCTAACAGAGTGATCGCAAGTTCCATCCATTTTGTTACAGTCTCCACTTTTCTTTATGGCTAACTAAAATTGTGTGTATGTTCTACATTTACTTAATACACTCATCTATTGAGATACATCTGGTTCCATTTCTTAGTGCAGCAATAAATATAGCTGTGCAAGCATTCATCTAGAATTCTTGAGGCATATAGGCAGGGGTGGTATGGCTGGGTCATGTGATCGTTCTGTTTGTAGTTCTTTGAGCACCATTCACCAGCTTCTTTAGTGACTTCTTTACAACCCCTGCTGCAGTGGACAAGGGTTTATTTGTTATTTGTTCCTTTGGTGATAGTCATTCTGACTGGGGTGAGCTAGAATATGAAAGAAGTTTTGATTTGCATTTCCCTGATCACTAAAAATGTTGAGTCCTTTTTCAAATGCTTTTTGGCCATTCGTATGCCTTTTTTCCCTCCATTTTTATTATCAATTTAATCTTACATTCCAATCCCAGTTCCCCCTCCCTCCTCTCCGCCCACTTCCTCCCCTCTCCCCTCCCCTAGGAAGTCTACTGAGTCTGTCCCATCATCTAGTTGAAGCAGGATCAAGGCACCTCTCCACCCCCACACTATATATATATATATATATATATATAGTTAGAAAGATTTTTCCCATTACATAGGCTGTCTCTTTATTCTGGTGATTGTTTCTTTAACTGTACAGGTTTTTTAATCTTATATAATCACACCAGTCCATTCACAGGATTTCAAATTTTCATACATTACACCTAGATCTTCAGTCTGTTTAACCATTGTTCATCAGGGGTTAAGAGCACTTGCTGTTCTGCCAGGGGACCCGAGTTCGGTTCCCAGTGCCCATATGGCAGCTCACAACTAACTATAATTCCAGGTCTAGGGGACCTCACTCCCTCCTCTGGTCCTCTCAGGCACTACAGGCAAAACACTCATACATACAAAATGAAATAAATCTTTTTTTTTTTTAATTTCTTTTTAAGAAAAAAGAAAAGAGGCTACTTCCCTCCCAAACAGAGGCAGTCATCCTTTGTGTGCCCCAATAAATCTCTTGTGTGAGGTTTGTTGTGTGGTATAACTTTATGGTATCCCATGGCTCCTGACTACCAGGAGACTTGAGGGGGGGGAGGGAGGAGGGGAAGGGTGGGGAGGAGGGGAGGAATGAAGGAAGGAAGGGAGGGAGGGAGGAAGGAAGGGAGGAAGGAAGGGAGGAGGGGAGGAATGAAGGAAGGAAGGAAGGGAGGAAGGAAGGAAGGAAGGAAGGGAGGGAGGGAGGGAGTGAGGGAGGAAGGGGAGGGAGGAAGGGAGGAGGGGAGGAATGAAGGAAGGAAGGGAGGGAGGAAGGGAGGAAGGGAGGGGGGATCTAGTTTCTTTTTCTTTTTCTTTTTTTTTTTACAGGAGACTATCCAGCTGTCCCTACACAATTTGTTAAAAACACTTAATGTGTTCTTAAATATGTTTTTATATTTTGAAATTTTTTCTAAGCTGTTTTATGTCATCCCCTCCCCCCCCCACCTTTTCTTTTCTGTTGTGTTCTTATCCAGTCTTGGTATTAGGGTAATACTGGCTTCAGACAATTTGTCTTTTGGTGTTCCCTTTCTATTGTATGGAAGAGTTTAAGGAGTATTGATGTTCGGTTCTTTTAAAGATCTGGGAGGATTCCCCAATGAATCTGGTCTTGGGCTGCTTTATTATGGCTTTTTTATGAATCTATTTTTATCTTCTTGGATTAATTTTCTTGGTTTGAGGTTTGTTTGTTTGTTTGTTTTTCCACCAAGACAGATTCTCACTATATATAGCTCTGGTTGGCCTGGAATTTACTGTGTAGACCAGGCTAGCCTTGCAGTAAAGATCCACCTGCCTTTGCCACCCAAGTCCTGGGATTAAAGATGTGCACCATTACACCTGGCATGATTTTAATTTTCATAGGTCATATTGACTAAAATTTTAACCATTTATTCTAAATTTTCCAGTTTTTTTAATGTAAGATTTCCAAGTACTTACTCCCCAGTAATCTGTTATAATTCTTTGGAATCAGTTGTGATAGCCTCTTGTTCATTTCTAATTTTATTAATTTGAGCCTTCTCTCTGTCAGTTTAGCTAGCAAGTTTTCAGTCTTTTTATGTGTGTATAGGTGTTGTGCCCACACATATGTACATGAACTATATGTAATGTCCACAGAGGCTAAAAGATGGCATCTGATCCACTAGGACTAGTGTTGCAGACAGTTGTGAGTTGCCCTGTGGGTGCTAGGAACTGAACCTGAGTTCTCTAGAAGAGAAGTCAGTGCTTTTAACAGCTGAGCCACCTTTTGAACCTCAACCTCATTTATCAATTTGTTTCCTTCTGCGTATTGTTCTGTTAATTTCCATTTCATTATTTGCTGCCTTCACCTTTATTTTTTCTTTCCATCTACAACTTTGGATTTTCCTTTTTCTTCATTTGCTAAGACCATTAGTTGTATCACTAGGTTGAACTCTGTCTTATTTCTCTAATGTAAATATCTCAGATAGCAACTTTCTCTTAGAACTGTCACTAGCTATATCCAAAGATCATGGTAAATTAACATTCATCTTCATTTCATTACAGAAATGTTTAATATCTTTATGACTCACTATTAGTTCAAAATGTACCATTCTATGTCCATGTATCTGTGCAGTTTCTCTTACTGTTGGTTTCCAGTTTTATTGCATTATGGTCTTTTTAGATACCAGGGTTGTTTCAGCTTTTTTGTATCGTTCAGATTTGCTTTGTAACCTAGCATAAGGTCTGTTCTTTGAGAAACTACCATGGGCTGCTGAGAAGAATGTATTCCATGTCTGTTGAATGGAATTTTCTGTAGATGTCCCTTAGATGTATTTGATCAGGGTTGCTGGATTTTTTTTCACTTAGATTTATTTTTGTGTCCGTGTGTGTATGTGTAAGTATATGCCGATTGTATAGGGTTTTCCACGGAGTCCAGAAAGGATGTTGGATCCCTTGAGCTGGAGTTAACAGGAGTTTGTGGCTGCCTGATGTAGGTACTAGGATCTAAACTCTAGTCCTTTGAAAAAGGAGCAAGTGATTTTAACCACTCCTATATTACATCATGAGACTGGAAAAGTAAGGAGAGCTGGGGAAATGACTGTATGAACACATAACTATGGGCAAAAGGGCTTTTCTCTAGAATGAATGAAGTCTGTTTTCTCTATCAACATTTTGCTGTCCACCGAGGCTACCTTTTAACAGCCTTATCAGTTTCCTCCCCTACATCTTTCCCTACAAGTTCTGGGTGTCTAGGTCTCCTATATAAATCAAACATATTGTTTTTGTTCAGTCTTCCCCACAAACTACTGAAGCCATCTTTACCACTGACCTAAGTATTCATATTAGTATTTCTTCATCTGTAAAATGGGAAGAGTAGTTATAATTGCTTTATAGGATAGTTTGGGGTATTAAATGAGTCTATTTCCATCATAAAGGATATCCCCTATGTGACAAGCGTTCTATACCTAATGTTTGGCATGTCATTTGTCATAAGTACTTCACAGACATTCTGTGTGCTCATTGTTCATTTAACCCTGTTCATTATGCATGTTCTTTCATCTCTTCTCCCAGAAGTGGAGTCAGAGTTTTACACCCCTCGGCAGAAAGTTTCTGAAAATGCAGCGTGTCGAACTAGTAAGGCGAGTGAAATGACAAGACATGGTTTGTGGTGCTCTATTTTAGAAGACCTGTGGCAAGATCCTGAGCCCACAAAAAGAGAACAGCAAAACAAGATCCCGCCCTGGAGCCCCTGTGCTTTCCTCAACAAGAAAACACAGAGCACAGGCAGAGATTATGAATGTAAAGAGCCTGGGGAAACCATTCCTTGGGTGTCCAATCTTAGTTCTACACAAAAGGGAGCTCCAAAGTTACTTACAAAAAGTTTGGAGCATAACCTTGAACCAAATGGTGAAGATCAAAGCAATATCACAAAGCAGCTTAACGATGTTACATGTGGCCAGGTCCTCATGCAGGACTCTTCTAATGGTAACTGTACAATCCCTCACGAAGGACAGAATTCATGCAAAGGTAACCAGTGCCAAAAAGTTCTCATCGATAAACAAAGACTTACACAGCAAGAAGTTCATCCTCAGGAGAAACCAGATGATTGCAGCGAGTGTGGAAAGATCTTCTATGACATGTCTGCTTTCCGTGAACATCGGGCAACTCACGCTGGAGAAAGACCTTTTGTCTGTCACAAGTGTGGGAAAGCCTTCCTACAAAAGTCTGAGTTGACCTCCCATCAAGAGACTCACATAGAGAAACCTTATGAGTGTCCCGACTGTGGAAAATCATTTAGTCGTACATCCAACCTGCAGGTCCATCATCGAATTCACACTGGAGAGAAACCTTATGAATGCCGTGACTGTGGGAAATCCTTCAATAACACATCCCAACTGAAGGTACATTATCGAATACACACAGGAGAGAGGCCTTATGTGTGTCCTGTATGTGGGAAAGCCTTTAAACAGAAGTCAATCCTCAGCACTCACGAGACGATTCACACCGGGGAGAAGCCTTACAAATGTACTGTTTGTGGGAAACTGTTTAGCTGTACATCCAGACTGAAAGTGCACTATCAGATTCATAGGAAGGAGAAGCCTTATGAATGTGCCGACTGTGGGAAAGCCTTCAAACGAAAGTCAAGTCTCACTGTTCACCAGAAAATACATATTAGACAAATCCACCATGTATGCAGTGAGTGTGGGAAAGCTTTCAGCCACAAGTCAGAACTCAGCATGCACCAGAGAATTCACCTGGGAAAGAATTCCCACAAATGCAATGAGTGTGGGAAGTCATTTTCTTACGCATCCCAACTGAAGATGCACCATCGAGTTCACACAGGGGAGAAGCCTTACAAGTGCCGGGACTGTGGGAAATCTTTTACTTACTCATTCACACTGAATGTGCACCGTCGAATTCACAAAGTGGACAAGCCTCACAAATGTAGTGTCTGTGGGAAAGCCTTGGCTTCTAAGTATCAACTTGAAGAGCATGAGCGGATTCACACAGGAGAGAAACCCTATGTGTGCACTGAATGTGGAAAAGGTTTTCATGGTAGGTCAGGTTTCCTGAGACATCAGATAACTCACACTAGGGATAAACCTTTTGTCTGTCACAAATGTGGGAAAGCCTTCTTTCAGCGGTCACAGCTGACATCTCATCAGCAAACTCACACAGGTGAGAAGCCGTATAAATGCCGTTACTGTGGGAAATCCTTCAGTCATACATCCCAACTGACAGTACATCATCGAATTCACACAGGGGAGAGGCCTTACAAATGCAACTACTGTGGGAAGTCATTCAGTAACTCCTCCCAACTGAAGGAGCATCTCCGAATTCATACTGGGGAGACACCTTATGCCTGCTCTGAATGTGGGAAGGCCTTCAGCCGAAGATCATCCCTCAATCTCCACACAAAAATCCACACTGGAGAGAAACACCATGTATGCAGTGAGTGTGGGAAAGCCTTTAGTCAGAAGTCAGTACTTCGAACACATCTGAGAATACACACTGGGGAGAAGCCTTACACATGCAGTGACTGCGGGAAAGCCTTGGCTTCAAAGGGCCAACTCCGAGATCATCAGAGAATTCACACAGGCGAGAAACCCTACGTTTGCACTGAATGTGGGAAGGGTTTCTTTGGCAGGTCATCTTTGCATAGACACCAGATAACTCACACTAAGGAGAGACCTTTTATCTGTCAAAAATGTGGGAAAACCTTCATCCAGAAGTCAGCATTGACATCACATCAGCAAATTCACACAGGCCAGAAACCCTATGTGTGCCCTGAATGTGGGAAGGGCTTCTACAATAAGTCATCTTTGCCTAGACATCAGATGACTCACACCAGAGGGAGATCTTTCATCTGTCAAAAATGTGGGAAGGCGTTCCTCCAGAAGTCCGTGTTGAAATGCCATCAGCAGACTCACACTTGCAAGAAGCCATAAAAATGCCATGGGAAATTGTTTCATAATACATCCCACTGAAGGCCCATCGCCATATCCACATAGAAATGTAGAGAGGATGGGAAGTCATCCAGCAATGCATCCCAACTGGATTCACACTGGGGAAAGAGCCTGTTGTGTTCTGGATGTAGAAAGGCCTTCAACAGCACGCCACATTACAATAAATACCAAGCAACTCATACCAGACACAGTTCTTACAGTCTTAGTTTTTGTGTGAAATGCTTTTCCAAGAAATCAGTTAATATCTATAAACATATTTCCAGCTGACGTATAACCCTTAAATTACTTGAAGAAAATGTTTTAAAAAGACTTATACATTATAGCCTCTTACATTAAAATATCTAGATATACACTGCTTATTTATACACATTATTCATGAGAAACCTTTGTAGTATGATTATGGATTCCTCCTAAGAGGAAACCCTAAAGCAATGGACTGAGAAAAGTTTCTCTATAGAGAACTGCAAAAGACACATTCTTACCAGGCTATAGAAAAAATTTGGGGATTTTGTGTCATCAACAATATTCCTGTTTATTGTGGGATAATAGTATTTCTATAATGCAAGAAAGGAAATGACAAGATGGTATTATCTGTCAAGTGTATGTATGATTGAAATTTATTTGTTTATATGACATCAATGTTTACATATGTATTGCCTCATCCTAGTGGGGGTTTGGCACAGAAATCGTTGCCTAACAGGAGTTTCTTTTCTCAAGAATTTAATATATATTGACAGTTTTATCCCTTATTCACACCATCTTGAGACTTCACTATCAATAATTATTAATATTTTCATCATATGAAAGTAAATTTTGTGATAAATCCATTAGTGAAATTCTATGGCATTCACTGCTCTTATATTGTAACTGTTCTCTTTCATGATTACTCAGCTTACCTTTTTAACGTATGTCCCATCTATAGTGAGCTACACAGACAGAGTTAACTGTTTATTATAGAATCATTGATGACTTCTTCGTAGTTTTATGCAGGCTTCTAATGCACACAAGAAAATAGTAAATGGTGGTGGTGGTGGTGGTGGTGGTGGTGTGTGTGTGTGTGTGTGTGTTGTGTGTGTGTGTGTATACACATGCATGAGTGCCAAGGTACATGTGTGAAAGTCAGAGAACATTTTGTGGGAGTTGGTTCTTTATTAACAACATGAAGGTCCCAGGAACTGAACCCAGGTAGGTCATCAGGTGTGTCAACGTGTTCCATTAACTGCTGAGCTAGCTCATACCCACCTATGAAAAATTTTTGAGACATTGTCTCACTACATAACCTTGGCAGGCCTGGAGCTCACCAGGCTGCTCTTGAATACACAGAGACTCACCTGCCATGTCTGCCAAGTGCTGGGACTAAAGGCATGCACTACCATTGCCTGCTTGAATTTTTTTAAACAAAGTTTTATGCAGCATAGCCATGTTCATTTGTATATATTCTGGGGATGCTTTGTTGTTCCACTAGTACAACTGGAGTAGTTGTGGGAGAAACCATATGGTCTCTAACCTACAAATATTTACTATCTGTCTCTTCACAGAGTATTATTTGCCAATGTGTGACACATACACCACTATCCACATAATCAGTTCCCTGTATAGAATTTCTTTCCTTTGTTTTATAAATCCAAACCACATCTGTGTATATATTGTTTGTCTACTCTAAAATATATACCTTTCATTGGCAGCATGGTTGAAATACCATAATCCAGAGCCAGCTGTAGTGGCACATGTCTGTAATCTCAGCACTCACAAGGCAGAGGCAGGCAGAACTCTGAGTTCAAGGCCACTGTGGTCTCCATAACGAGTTCCAGAACAACCAGGGCAATAAAGAAAGACCCTGTCTCAACAACAAAAAGGTTGAAATAACTTCCTGAAAAGGGTGAATGGAAATAATCAGAAAAGGGGGATCCAAAGAGAAGGGTAATGGGTTCAACTGAGGCAGCAGCCTGTCCCACCCAAAGAAATACACTTTGTGAGAACTAACAGAAAAGAGCCTGAGCTGCTGTAGTCTGTTCCCTATGAGTCATGGCCTAGTGTTTAAAAAAGAAAACCCACCTAGAAAAGGTAAACAAGGAAACATGGGATAAGGAACTTAACGAGAATTCTCCAAAGAAGACATACAGTCAAATTCTTTTAAAGTGTTTAACCTCCTTAGCTAACATCTTACCCTGGTTGAAACAGCTATTATCTGTTGAGGATGTGAAGAAAAGGGAGCCTGTATTGACTGTTGGAAGGAATGTAGACTGTTGCAACCCTAAAGAAATCCGTCTGGGGTTTTGGTGTGTTTGGTTTGTTTGATTTGATTTGATTTTGAGACAGGATCTCATTATGCAGCTTTAGTGGTGGTTTCCAAAGTTACTAAACCTGGAACTACCTCATGACCCAGCTAACCACTTGTGGATATAATATACCCTGGGAATCTGTACCATACCACGGAGATACTGACACATCCATGTTTATACAAGAGCAAATCTTTTCACAAGAGCAAAGAAATGGAATCAGTCTAGATGTCCATCAATATAGATGCATGTATAATGAAACTGTAGTACAAATACAATGGAATCTTATGGGCCATGAAAATGAAATTTACAGGAAAATGAATTGGAAAATATGAGGTAAGGGAATTCAGATACTAACTTCTGACTTTATGTACGTGCAGCTTCAGCTTCTGAGTGTCTCTGATGGCTCCTCACTTCTTGAGGCAAGTGCTTCATCTTAGTGAACTAGATGTGGTTTGGCTGCAAGATAGATGGGTAGTGTGCAAGGTTTATTGACTAAAAAAGTAAATTCTGAAAGGAAAAATTCTGGAAGAACAAGATTGTGCCTGAGACGAAATAAATGGAAATAGTTAGCAATAATGATGTGTGCAGAAGATGCAGATACATGAAGAGATTGACATTTGCAGAATACTAACTTTCATGTAGTTTACTATAGTTGTGCCCTGTGGTGACGGATGGCTGAGCCTACTCTTTGGGGACTCCTAGAGCTGTATCTTTGGTGATGAAACTGTGTTCTCTAAATCATCACTCCTAACAGTCTGTTTTCAATGGGAAGATCTAGGTCATCTGTGAACAAGGCAGGATGCCATGTTATTGTAATCCTAGCACTTGAATGGCACAGACAAGAAGGTCAGAGTAAGTTCAAGGCCAGCATGGTCTACATAGTTCTAGACCAGTGGTTCTCAACTGTCCTAATGCTGTGACCCTTTAATACAGTTCCTCATGTAACACAATTAATTCCTCATTTTTTTTGGTGACCCCCATCAATAAAATTTTTGTTGCTTCTTCATAACTGTAGTTTTGCTACTGTTATGAGTTGTAATGTAATTTTTTTTTTCAGAAATACAGATTCGCCAAAGGGGGTGTGATCCACAGGTTGAGAACCACCGTTCTAGACCATTCAGAGCTAGAATGCTTATCCTTGAGATAATTCACACAATCTTTGACTTTATTCTCATAACTCTACATTAGGTCTACTGATTTATTCATCACAGTGCTAGGTGCTTTCACCATTTGACTGGTCTTTCTCCATTTACCATTATTTCCACTGTCCACCTAGTTCTATATTGTTTCTATTATGCAGCTTTAAAAAGTTTACTTTAAGAGCAGGTTTCTATCCTTTGGGAACCATGAGATACTCCCAATATAAAATACTCCCCAGTGTGAAATACATTGTTCCTCTCAGAGTCTCGCTGTTAATTAATGTTCCATATGGCTTCACTTCCTGTTCCTAAAAACCCGACATGGCTTTCAATCTTTGAAAAGTAAGGATGCGCTAGTGTGACGGTACCACCTTTAATCCTAGCACTCAGGAAGCAGAGGTATGGAATGTCCGAGAGTTCAAGGCCAGAATGATCTACATGGCCCGTTCCAAGTCAGTCAGGCCAACATAATGAGACTGTCTCAAAAATAAGAACCCTTTTAAGTTCTGGTGAAAATAAAGAGAAAAGGTGAAAAGAAAAGAAGAAGAAGAAAGAAAAGGAGAGACTGCTCAGTGGGAAAAAGAGAACTTGTTGGTCTTGCAGCTGTCCTGGGTGCTGAGAACTCAACATGCAGGCAAAAATACATAAATCAAATACAGAGAAAAGGAACTTTTAGTAACATGTAGTGTCACGGCCTCTTAGAAATAATACATGTACAAGTAGTAAATAAATCCCCTGACAATGTAAGACAGTTTTGGGTTCTCGCTGTATCACATTCCACAGACCTTGCCTGGCTGTACAGAACTGCACTCTGATGGTGGCTTCCCTGTCATCGGAGTGTGGGTGCGGCCATGACACTCTCTGAAAGAACAGAAACCACCAGATGAGCCATAGTAAGTATTGGCAAGGTTTACCTCCGCCAATGGTGGTGCGCATGCGCGTGATCCACGAGGGGGGACGTGGTAATGGACAGAAGGAACCATTATTCAAATCGGAAATGGTCTAGAGTGGTCACATCGGCGCAGATCCTTAGGTGGCTCGCTTCGGCTTTCGTTGCCAGGACAGCGTGGGTGTTTGGAGTCCGAACTTTTGTTGTTGTGGGTTTCTGCGGGCGGAAGTCGCAGCCCGGCGGGGCGAGCCGTGCGTAGAGCTCTCTGCGGTGCAGCGTGAGGTGAGTGGAGGCGCGGGGCGGGCGCTGGGCTGCCGAGCGCTGGTCCGTGCTGAGTGCTGCTGGGGTGGCTGCAGGGGGATGCCGTGGATGAGGTGCGGGTCGTTCGATCGGTTTGCATTCCGCTCTTGCGGGTTTTCCGCGTCTTGTGTGTTTTGTCACTTCCCAGTGTGCTCCTGTGGGATCTCACGCCGTCTTCTGTGAAAATTGTCATGTCAGGACGTTCGGGGCAGGACTCAGAGTGGGCGCTGCGGGAGCCGGTCCCGGGTGGGAGCCGGGAGCTTCAGGACGAGGACCGTGATGCCGCGATTGCCGTAGGAGTCAGGCGAGAGGGCCGCTCGGCAGCGATGGAGCCGGGGCCGGTGGCGGGGGCTTGTGAAGGCGACTGTGTTGCTCTCTGGTCCGGTAGTGCTTGAGTAGCTGGTACCTGGATCCAGGGCTCCTGGTCCAACACTGGCCTGCAAGAGGGGAAAACTCCAAAGAGTAAGTAAAAGCGGGAAAATGAATTTATTTACGTTTTGGCCCAAACTGGGGACAGTGCCCTCCATCTGTGTCAGCCTAAGCAGTATTACCAATAGAAGGAACCGCATGAAAGTCAGGAGAGACGGATAGGTATATTTAATGTGGGCTCAGTCACCTGAGCTGGGACATAAGCCTTGGTGCTGGCCCCAGAGACCAGGTGGTCTGGTCATTTCCGTCCCTCGTATTATGCTTCCTGTGTGGAGGTGGAGCTGAAAACAAAAAGGATTTCTTTTAAAAACTAATCTTAATTTAATTCCTACTGCCAATGGGCATAACTGTTGGTATCCTTCGCGGATGTGAGGCGAGAAGGGAGGTTTGGCCTGTGCTTGGGACCTACAGATATGATAGACAGGTGATTGGCAGTTAAGCAGATCGGTGCTGCAAAGAGGTTTGGGGCAGAAGCCTGGGTTTCTGCATCCAAACAGGCCAGGGCCCGCCTCATCTAGCGTGCCTGTTGAAGAGACCACTGAGCATGAAAAGCAGAGCAGGGAGCTGGAGAGAGGCTCCACGGTGTTGCAATCCCACACTCACACGGGGGCTCTGAACCACTTGGAACAGTTCCAGGGGCCCTGCTGCTTGCTGGCCTCCAGGGCATTGCTTGCTTCTGGTGCACAGAGACACAGACAGGCAGCACACACATAAAACTTTAAAGTTTTTAAATGGTGAAAATAAATCTTTATTTTTCTCTAACCCCCAGTGAACTACTTTTTCCAACTAAGCCCCATGTGGTGGCTTGAAAGAAAATGGCCCCAAAGGGAGCGGCACTATTAGGAGGCGTGGCTTTGTTGGAGTGGGTGTGGTTTTATTGGAGGAAGTGTGTCCCTGTGAGGATAGGCTTTGAGGTCTCTTTTTGCTCAAGCTTCCCTCAGGGTGACACTGAGACCACTTCCTGTTGCCGTCGGATCAAGATGTAGCCAGCGCCATGTCTGCCCTCACGCCGCCACGCTCCCCACATTATGATAGTGGACTGAACCTCTGAAACTGTAAGCTACCGCTCAATGAAACGCTCTCCTTTATAAGAGCGGCCATGGTCATGGTTTCTTCACAGCAATAAAAACCCTAAGACATCCCGCCTCTTTAAAAAAAAAAAAAAAAAAAAATAAGGAAAAAACAAAAAGCAGAGGATGAGATTCCATAAATGAGTTAGATTATGCAGGAGAAAAGTTAAAGTTATATTGACCACATGTCAATCTCTGGTGTACTGATTGGAAGTCTAGGTTTAAAAATCAAGAGTCATGTATTAAAGGAGCCAAGCAGGATGTGGTGGCACACTCCTATCCTGTAATCTTAGTACTTTGGAGGCAGAGTCTGGAGGATCGCTACAAGCTGAAAGCCAGGCTGGGGATGAAGTAGGTTTGGAATTGGGACAGTTAGAGTCAAAGTGAAGAAGACTCATACTGTGATTCCTAAGTAAAAGCAGCTCTGTGTGTGTATGTGGGTGCCCGCGTGCGTGCATGTGTGTAATGTTTAAGACTTATTTTATATATGTGAATGTTTGACATATAGGTATGCCAAGTGTGGTCCTGTCATCCAGAGAAGCCAGAACTCCTCTGAATCAGACTTACAGGAGGCTGTGAGCCACATGTAGGTGCTGAACCTGAAATATCTTCTAGAGCAGCATTTGCTCTTAATCCTCGAGCCGTCCATCTCTCCAGCCCCCGGTTCTTGTCCTTCCTTCCTATTGACAGGGTGTTCCTATGCGCCCTTGGCTAGCCTGCAACTCAGTCTGTAGACTGGTCTCACCTCAGATGTGGTGGTGATGTCCCTGCCTCTGGAGTCTAGGGTTGTAGGTCTACAACTGGTTTGGCTTAAAAGCCACACCTAAGTTAAAGATTCTTCAAGACTGATGAACTGAAAAGTACTAGAGTGTTTATAGAGAGTTTGTATGTTACAGGTATGGAATCTAACTATCTTCAGCTGTCTTTTGTCCCCTCAGCACTTAGTCAGTATCCACCTATGTATTTTTACCTGAACAACCAACTAGTTTTCAACAACTGAAAGGCTAAGAATGTCATTGGAGAGCATGTGAGGCCTACAATAGAGACTTTCCCACCTTATTGTAACCTGCCTCCCTGATGGTACCACCATTGTTGGGGTTTTGTTGTTATTGTTTTGGTGTGTATGCTATGTACATGTTAGTTTGGCAGTGGTTACATGTCTGTGTACAAGTGAACATAGAAGCTAGAGGATAATATTCAGTCTTCCTCAAGCCCCCTCTACCTTACTTTTTGATATAGAGTCTGTGTGTGTGTGTGCACGTGTGTCTTATATAGGCACAGTGTAGGACCATGTACATGTATAGGTCAGAGGACAACTATCAGAAATTAGTTCTCTCCTTCTGCCATGTGTGTGTCCCAGGTATCAAACTCACGATGTCAAGCACCTTTACCCTCTAAGGCAGTGGTTCTCAGCCTTCCTAATGCTGCGACCCTTTATTATAGTTCCTCATGCTGTAGTGATCCCCAATCATAAAATTATTTCATTGCTGCTTCATAACTCTAATTTTGCTACTGTTATGAATCATAATGTAAGTGTGTGATATGTGACCCCCAAAGGGGTTGTGACCCCCACACTGAGAACCATTGCTCTGAGGTGTCTTTTGGCTCACACCAGTGTACGTTAAGGGCTTTGATTTATGGCTTTATTTTGTTCTCTTACTATGAAAATGTCATGGAACATGGTATTTGGATAACCCAAGTCAACACTCCCAGGCCATGGTAACACTTACTTGACTCTAGAATAAACTATTTCTACACCCTTCGAAGTGAGGGCTGTGTTTTTATGTAACCAGCCACCAGGGGTGGCTGACAGAAGTAGCTTCTAGAAGCTTATTTCAGTGCTGCTTCTAAGCCAGGCTTGATGGAGCACATATGCATTCCCTGCACTGGGTAACGAGGCAGGATGAACAGGATGTCAAAACCAACGTCTGTTATATAACAAGTTCAAGGCCAGCCAGGTCTATATGAGACCCTAACAAACACACACACACACACACACACACACACACAGAGAGAGAGAGAGAGAGAGAGAGAGAGAAAGTTAATGTTGCTTCCATGCTGGGGTCTGTTATTTGCACCCCTGTATTGTGAGTTATTTGGGATTATGTGGAAACAGAGATAACACTCTGGGGAAAAATTATTGGCTATCAAGGTAGTCATATTTTCAGTGTCCTGGAGCACGTTAGTGTCTGGGAAGCAGTCCTGTGTCCAGTCTTCAGGGGTCACTGAAAGGCATTGATCTGAGTAACTGCATCAGGGAAGACATGCATAATCAGCCAGAGGGGTGTTGGTACCTGTAATGCCTGTATGTGATTGGCTGATGGAGCAGAGTCACTGACCTCAAGGCCACCCTGGGGATTATGAGTTCTCCATCAGCCTATGCTACACAGTAATAATACACTGACTCAAATAAAATAAAATGGTGCAAAATTAAAAGAAGGAAAGGGTAGGCTTTCAAAGTAGAGGTCCTGGTCCTTGTATATGCTTGTATACTCTTTGGATATAGGAAGGAATTGTGGTCATAAACTACAGGGAGTCAGAAGAGTATAGGCTGTGGGATGCATCAGTAAGTTTGAATAGTGTCTAGAAACAAGCAAAGCATGAACTGGGGCAGTATATCGTTTTGTGTAAGTCAGATAGATACCGGTCTCCTTCTCTTCTGTTTGATGACCTTGGGTCATATTAAGGAATATAACAGCCTCATTTGCCTCCTCTTAAAACACCAAGTATAGTAATGCCTCTGGCATACAGCTGAAAGAGGGTCTGGAAAATAAGCTGATAACTAGCTGATTTTCAGTCAGACTTATGACCTGCCAGGTTGATGAGCCTCATCCTGCATTGGACTGCCAATACCAGTGACCAACACCTCCTCCTTGCTTTCTATCACCTTACTTCATATCTCCCTGTTGTTACAGTTCAGAGGTGGGAGGAAGAGTTGGACATTTCTGGGCTTTGTTTGCCTTCAGTATCTACATGATGACCTTTGGGTGGGGTCCTCAACTCTTGGGTGAGTGATAATATAGACATTGACTTTCCGGGGTTTTCTGATGTCTTTGCAAACCTCTAGGTGAGGCTGACCTCTGCACTGAACTCTACGTGCATCCTGCACATGCTCAAGTATCTTCAGGATCCTGAGAAAATCAAGAGACAGATCAAGAGTAGAAACCACAAAGGACATGCCCACTGACATGAATTTCTGCCAGATGCCTCAGAGATTAGGAGCAGAGGAGCAGAACGGGTCGTGTGAGGTGAGGAGAGATATCCCAGCTTCTACTTTTCACAGATTGCAGAAGTTGGAAGCAGCAGATTGGACAACCGTGATTCTCCCGCTAAGAGTGAAACTCAGAGCGCTGAGACCTCACATTTCATCGTCATTGTCATCGTCATTGATATGTTCATTGTGCTGCTTCGTAGGTTTAGGTTTATCTACCTGTCTCTGACTTCCTGGGGAGTCCTCTTTCTATTCAACCCAGAGGATTGGCAGGACAAAGAAGTAGGTGCATCCAAGTCCAGCTTAGCTTGGTAAACCAGAGAGAGAGAGACTGTGTGCGTGCGTGCGTGCGTGCGTGCGTGCGTGTGTGTGTGTGTGTGTTTACTAATTATGGCAGCATGTATGAAGTGCAGCCTTCAGAGGCATGGGGCACTTAGATAACTGCACCATCAACACGTTACCTCCTTCCCCCAGCTGTGTGTCCAGCTTACACATCTGTATAACATGAAGGGGTGTCTTTGAATCTCTCCCTTCCTCCAGGAGGGCATGCTTCAATGCCGAGGTAACACCTACGTAGCACTGTCTTTACCCCACATGTGTACAGGTCCCTAGTCTTTTGACTTTCTCTCCTGGTTCATAGCCGCACATTGGCTCCTCAAAGATCAGTACCTCAATTTTTTAAAAATTATATTATTTTTTTGTAAATGGATGTTTTGCCTGCTTGTACATCTCTGTACCCTATGCATACAGGAAGTGCCCACAGAGGCTAGAAAAGGACTTCAGACCTATACCTGGAGCTATGGCCAGTTGTGAGCCACCGAGTGGGTGCTGGGAATTGAACCCAGAACTATGAAACCCAGCACTCTTAACTGCTGAGCCCCCTCTTTAGCCTCAAGCTGAGCCTTTTAAAATAATAATTTGGTATATTGAGCTACATTAAGTATGCTACTAAGTTGATTCCATCTGTTTGTAATTAATATGGCTATCGTATCTGCATTGGAAATTTCTGCTCTGGGAAATGATCAGACTCCGATCTTGTTTTATCTTCAGAAGAATACTTCACAGTGTTGACATGCCTGCATTGTTGGACCCTGCCAGGTTCACATCATGCAGGTCATCTCTCTCCTAAGATGCTCACGTCATCCCCCAATCCTATCTCGTGTAGACCTGGCGGTGCTCCTCACGTGTGGTTTAGCATCCACTGTCGAGGAGGAAGAGCGCTGCAGTAGTTACTGCCCTGTGTGTGGCCGCACTGTGCCGCTGAAGGCAGAGCCTTCCACCGTCACATCTGAGAATGCAGTAAGAAAGGCCAGCCCTTTAAATGGGGGAATCTTCATTCCCTGCAGTTCTTTAAGTGACAATCCATGACCCACCCAAGACCCACCCCAGAGTACCTCCTGTGACTTAGGTAACAAGCACTTTTCAGACATTATGAATGGCACTGTCTCCTCCTCCACAGGGCTCTCTGCCACTCCTGGAACTGTGGCTTTTCCCTTCCACTCCACCTTCTAGTTCTCGTCTAGAATATTGTATTTTCCACATTCCAACTCAAACTTCTCACTTCCGGTTTAAGTGGCTGTACTCTGATTAACATGACAGCCATTTCCCGCTAAGTACCTAATTTGCCCTTCCTGACAATTTTCTTTTACAAATTTCTAAAAGTCTTCCTTTATAACCCCATACTTGAGTCTTTATAGTTGCTATTTTGAAAGTCTGAGTTTTTCTAAGAGTACAAGCTCATATAGTGTTGAATCCCAGGGACCCAACACAGCTAAAGACAGGTACAATGAGGCTTAATAATTGTTATGCTGGCCTTTCTCCCTTCCTCCCTCCCTCCATTCCCTCTTCCCTCTTGTTTGATGGAGTCTTACTGTGTAGACTAGACAGATCTCAAATTCGGCATCCTCCAACCTTAGCTTCTATCACGCTGGGATTGTAGGTGGACCTTACCATTCCTGGTCCTAGAAGATGACTCCCCTTGTACTATAGAGCAAAGTTTTAACTGGAAAACAGAGGATTTGAGGGAAAAGGCCATGGCATAGGCTGCTGGGCTGCCACAGGTCAGCACTGCTGCGGCCAGCCCTACATAAACAAGCTGGTTCTGCTTGGAAGCAGTTCTGTAGGCAAGACCAGCCTGGCCCTTCAATACATGGCGCAGGACTTCAGCAGCGTCTTGCCAGCTGTGGGATGTGCATTCTTCACAAAGGTGATGGATATGGGATCCTCGTCTCTGAATCTTGAGATTGGGGACACAGCTGGCCAGGAGAAGTACTCTGGTATATGACATCACTCGGAAGGATTTCTTTCACAAGGCCCAGCAGTGGCTGGAGGACCTGGAGAAGGAGTTCCACCCAGGAGAGGTGGTGGTGATGCTGGTCAGCAACAAAACAGACCTCGGCGAGGAGCGGGAAGTGATCTTCCAGGAAGGGAAGGATTTTGCAGAGAGCAAAAACTTGCTATTCATGGAAACCTCGGCCAAGCTGAACTACCTGGTGTCTGAGGTCTTCAGCACAGTTACTGCAGAGAGCAGGAGACCGGAGGAGCAGCTCACACGAAGGCAAGGCTATGCTTCTGGACCAGGAACCTGCTTCCAGACACTAATGGTGTCCATGATAGATGCCATAGTTTCTGCCACTGCAGGAGATTGTGTGGAGGACATCTCAGCCCGTGCCTCAGACGGTCTTCAACCCGAGTTCCATCTTCAGAACAAGGCTGGTGGCTCTACGTTCATTCATATTCTCTGTTGAAGATGAATTATGCCTGAGCCCTGGAGGCTTCCAGAAGTTGGCTTCCTTCATAACTGCTTGCCAAAGCTGCCGGGAACTGTTAGGGATAGGATCCAGTCCCAGAAGACTGTCAGCCCCTCCTTACCAGATCCCACCTGATTCCTGGATGGCCTGAGCTAGTGCGCCCATCCAACCTGACCTGTCCCAATCAGCTGCCTTGCTACAGCACAGGACAGTTAAGTGAAGCAGAACAGAAGCATGGACTGGAAAAATTCTTTGATCCATGCGATGGGAAGACAGATGCTTCATCCTGGGGCAGCTGGTCCATAACTGAACCACTGTGGTCCTGGGAATTGCCAGGGTTAATGGCATCAGTGCAAGGGAAAAAATGGAGAGATGAGCCCATGTTGGTGGGTCTCAGTGAGGTGATCCTGGAGAGACAGAGTCTGGAGTGCCTGGGATGGAAGTGTCCCCCTTTCAGCTGTGGGTGAACAGAACCAGGCTTCTAGAACTGTATAGCCTCCATTGTATTGTCCATGTGTCCTTCTCTCTAAATATTAGATGTCTTGACAATCTGGAAAAAAAAAATAATTCTTAGGCTGATTAATCCTTGGTAGAGAATAAAAAAGAATCCATTTCTGGCCTCCTGGGGAGGCCAGATGGTTTTTTTTTAATATTTCTTCTTTATGCCCCCAAATTCAATGGAAAATAGGTATTTTGTGGAAAACTTAAAGGGGTCACTAAAACACATGTCCTATTTGTCAGTGTCAATTCACAGTGAGTATGTTGTTATAGGGATTGGTGTCCTTTGAGGATGTGACCGTGGACTTCAGCCAGGAAGAGTGGCAGCAACTGGACTCTGCCCAGAGACGCCTGTACCAGGACGTGATGCTGGAGATCTACAGCCACCTCTTGGCAGTGGGTGAGCACAGCTGGCCTGGGGACCCAGGCTGGTCCTCCTTTCCTTATTTCTCTTTTCCAAACATGGTGGAATGTCAAGTCTTTCATGGATTCATTCCTTTTTAGATATTTCCATATGTTGTTTTGTGAGTTTGATTCATGGAACCTGCATGGTAAAAGGCAAGGCTGACTCCCCTAAGTTGTCCTTGGAATTCCACACACATGCCATGGTATGTGCAACACATGCAGAGTAAATGTGGGTGTGGCTGTATATTAAGATTTTACTTTTATGTCATGTGTGTGGGTGGTATGTCCATGTGCCACGTGTTGTGCAGTGTGCCTGTGGAAACCACAAGAGTGTGTCAGATTCCTTGGAACTTAGTTGTAATTTAGTTGTCGTGTGGGTGCTGGGAACCAAACCTGGGTCATCAGTAAAAGCAGCAAGTGTTGCTAACCACTGAACCATCTCTCCAGCCACCTCCTCTACACATACGTTTACGTAATTTTTTTAAACATAGAGAAAGAATTACAGAGTGTAGGTTTATTGTGCTTAGCATGGGTGAGGCTCTACTTTAATCCTTTCTGCCCCAATAAAGAAAAGGAAACCTAACCAAAAACCAGATGAGTAAAAGGGTAAAGGACATGACTATGCATTTCAACAGAGCTAGCCTAGTCTTCTTGGCCATCTGTTCTTGGGGTCCTGGCTGTCCACCAACAATGCAGTACAACAGCCTTGTCTGAGCCCTTCCTATTTACTATATCTATATAGCTAGGTCTTTTATTTGTTTAGCTGGTTGCCTATGCCCAAACCAAATCTTCCCCACAAATCAGCAAAGTGATTTTGGCCACTAACTGTAGCTCGCAATTTCTCACATATAAAACAAGGAGAGTAGATGTGGCTGTTTGGGGGATTATTTTGAGTTCATGTATCTGGTGCATAGAAAGTTGCCTAGCACACGTGGATGCTGTGTATATGAAGTGGTATGTAGTAAGGACTATAGTAGTGTTCCTTACCGTTAGCATCACGTGATGAGCATGACTGCTACCTGACTCCGATTTCTCAATGTTCAGATTCAGTTCCATGTGATTCCTCCCCCGTCCTGTTCATTGTGCCTGTTAACTTCATGTCTTTCTCTTCTCTGCAGGTGAATTGCGCCTTGATACACCACATCAACAGATTTTTGTGAAAGCTTCATTTCTAAATGATGCACACAGGGAAATCACAGGGCATGGTTCACACTGCTCCATTTTAGGGAAACTGTGGGAGCCTGGCAACACTACTACAAAGACAGATCAGCAAGGCCAGATCCCACCCATACGTCCTGGTGTGTTCCAAAACCAGGAAACCCTGAACACAGACGGTGGTCGTGACGATGGAGAAGCTGGAGAATCTCTTCTGTTGGGACCCCTCCTCATTTCTACACAATATGTACCTCCAAGACATTTCTTATTGGCAAAAAGTTCGAAGCCTAACCTTGAAGCATATAGTGACGATCAAAGCAATGCCGCAAAGCAGGTTGGTGACATTACTGGATCCCCTCAGCTTTTTACACAAGGCTCTTGTAGTGGTGAGTGTACAATTCCTCATCAAAGAGAAAAATCATACAATGAAGGTCGGTTTGGAAACATCCTTTCTCCCAATCCACCACTTACAGAGCATGAAATTAATTTTCAAGACAAAGCAGTTGAATATACTGGATGCGGGAAGGTCTTCACTGGCGAGTCCACTTTCTGTCAACAAATAACTAACAATCTGGAGACATCTTTCATCTGCCACACATGTGGGAAAACCTTTCTCCACAAGTCTAAGTTGACGTCCCATCCAGAGACTCATAGAGAAGAGACACCTTATGAGTGCCCTGACTGTGCCAAATCACTTAAGGCTGTGTCCAGCCTGCAAGTGCACCGTGAAATCCACACAAAGGAGAAGCGTTACGAATGCCACGTGTGTGGGAAGTCATTCAGTTATACGTCCCACCTAAAGGTGCACCTTCGAACACACACTGGTGAGAAGCCCTATGCGTGTTCTGACTGCGGGAAGGCCTTCAGCCAAAAGTCAGTCCTCACCATCCATCAGAGAATTCACACCGGGGAGAAGCCTTACACATGCAGTGACTGTGGGAAAATGTTCGTTTGTGCATCCGATCTGACAAAGCACTGTCGCTTTCACACAGGGGAGAAGCCCTATGAGTGCCCCGACTGTGGGAAGTCTTTCAGTATTAAATCTAACCTGCTTGCACACCACCGAATTCACACCAGTGAGGGACCTTACAAATGCTTTGACTGTGGGGAATCATTCAGGAAAATATCCCAACTGAAGGTACATCATCAAATTCACACTGATGGCAGATCCTTTGTCTGTTCTGACTGTGGCATGGCCTTCAGCCAAAAGTCAGTCCTGGCCACCCATCAGAGAATTCACACTGGGGAAAAATGTTACCCATGTAGTGACTGTGGAAAGCTGTTTCTTTATGCTTCAGATCTGAAGAAGCATTGCCGAGTTCACACCGGGGAGAAGCCTTACAAATGCCACGACTGTGGGAAGTCATACAGTGTGAAGTCACACCTGCACGTGCATCATCGAATTCATACTGGTGAGAGACCTTACAAATGTGATGACTGTGGGAAGTCGTTCAGGAGAAACTCTCACCTGCAGATGCACCAGCAAACTCACACTGGTGAGAAGCCTTACAAGTGCTCTGAGTGTGGGAAGTCGTTCCGGAGAGCATCCCACCTGAAGGTGCATCATCGAATCCACACTGGGGAGAAACCTTACGTGTGCTCAGAGTGTGGGAAGGCCTTCAATGATAGGTCAGTTCTCAGCACACATCAGAGAATTCACACTGGGGAAAAGCCTTACATATGCAGCGACTGTGGGAAAGCCATGTCTTCTAAAGCCAATCTCAAAGAGCATCAACGAATTCACACAGGCGAGAAGCCATATGTGTGTGCTGAATGTGGGCGGGCCTTCAGTGATAAGTCTTCTTTCTATAGACATTGTAAAATTCACAGTAAGGAGAGATCTTTTGTCCATAACAAAGGTGCAAAGGGCTTCCTGCAGAATTCACAAGTGACATCCTATGAGCAAACTCACAATGCAGAGAAACTGTAGTGATGTGCTGTCTATGGGAAATCTGTCATTGTTAGGTATCATCTGAAGGTGTATCATCAAGGTCACACATATTACCATTACTGAAGCTGTGGGATACTATTGGTATACCAGCCACACCATCCTGGGAAAAGACATTGTTTGTGTTGTGAATGCAGAAAGTCTTTCAAAATCATGTCATGTCAATAGACTCGAGAGCTTATACCAGGCAATCTTCCAAACTTACACCTGATCATATAAAAGAATTTATTGTAGATTCAGTTCCTCAACCATATCCCTCATCAAAATATTCTTGGTTCTCATGAAAAAAGGATTTTATCACAGACCTAAGTAGGAGTACAGAGATGTCACACTCAATTGGTAAATTCTCTGTCTTTGGAACACCACAAGCACATGCATACACGCCATGAGTATCTACACACAATAGATACATAAACCTAACTATACAAGCCATAGTTCGTAGTTTAAAAAGAGTACAGCTATGCATTGCTTGGTTAAACATATAGATTAATTATATGTGAGGGAAGTATTCATGAACTTACAGGAAGAAGCATAAATGTTTCCTTGCATGAAGAAATGTTGATTAATGATTTAAGGTAAGCCTTCTATAGTTAATGGTACAAAGTTTCTAGACTATAGGAAAGTTTGTTGGAAATTACATCAATGATTTCTCTGTTTATTGTGGGAGCCTATTTTGTTTCTATGAGACAGGGTCTCACTGTGTATTCCAGGTTGTCCTGGAACTCACCATATAGATCAGGCTGGCCTTTAACTCCCAGAGATCTGCCTACTTCTGCCTCCCAAGACTGGGATTAAAAGTGTATGCCACTATGCCTGGATGGATACTAATATTTTTTAACGTCACAAAATATTTCTCATCTCTGTCTAAGGAAGTCCTGGGCTTATCCATAGCGTGGTGGCCGGCAGACAAAGTGGCCACTTTTTTTTGATTTCCCAGATCTTTCAATGGATTCTTCCCTGCCTTGTCCTGTCTCAGGTCCTGGGAGAGGTCACCTTCAGGGTGCCATTTGAGAGAGACAGAAACTGAGAATGTTCATGAACCTGTGTTAGTGCCTCCCCAGTGTTGATGTGAACACTGCTCCTCTGCGGTTTATGTCCTTGCGGAACCCCAGAGTGCAGTAGAAGTCATTTAGAATGCAGACATACTTGGCCAGTGTTGGTCCTAAATCTTAAGAGAAAGCCATATGAAGACTCAAACATTTTGAAAGATGGGATCAGGGTGGCAGGGAATTCAGTGACTCACCTCCAAGCCATGGAATGTCAGGAACAGGAGATAGAAAAGCTTCTTGGGAATTGCCAAAATTAGCCGTCTCTTGGCCAGTACCTTGATTTCCAAATTCTGGCCTCAAACATGGTGAGAAAATCAGTTCCTGTTGTTTTGCCAACTATTATAAAGCAATCTAGGAAAACCAATAGAGTACAGAGAACTCTGAGATGCCCGTGTGTACTCATGGCCTGCCTCCCTAGTTCTTTCACGTTTTAGTACCTTCTTTACTCATTCTTTTGTCATCCACTATTCCCAAACTTTCCGTGCCTCTTTGTCCTCACTCTGGTTCCCATGTTTTTAACTCCTTTCACAAAGCGTATACCATATTGCTATTCCTCCACGTGACTCTTTATGGTTCTCAAGCAACCTATGTCCCTCATTTTTCTTTCACGGAGGCCCTCCAGACATGAATGTTCCAGTTTGGCAGACCATGCATTTCTGTTTATTTCAGTTCTGTCTTTTTGTTTCTTTGAGACTGAGCCTCATCCAGTCCAGGCTAAATTCTGATTTGCTATAAGCAGAGAGTGGGCATGAAATCTTGAATGTTCTGCTTCCACTTTCCAAGTGCTGGGATTACAGGGTGTGCCACCCCTTGGCCAGATGGTATTTTTACAAAAAAACAAAACAAAAAACAACAACAACAACAACAACAAACTATCATAATAATAATGTCTTCCATCTGACATGTGCACAGTGTAAATCTGACTACACTGTTGAAAGGTGAGTCTGTGTCCCTACTATCTCCAAGTTCAATGGGATTTTATTGTAGTTTCAGTGGGTGAAATAATAACAGAAGTAACATGGTATTTGAGGCCACACTAAAAGCAGTAGAGCATCTATCTGTCTACGTTGCTTATCTGAGTGTTTTTTATTGACGCCTTCCTCTACTGCTTAATAATTCAAGTCCATGTTGAGAAAAGCCAATTGAGTCAATATAGAGAGACAGAGATTAACATTAAAGACATGAAGATTGATCCAGGACATCATTCCTTTGGTTGGGATTTCAGTTAAACCTCATCAGCTGCCTGGAAAACAAATACCACAGCCACTCAGATGATCCTTCCCAAGTTTCTGACTTCACATAAACCTTGAAAGGTAACACCAACTCTAGAACATTAAAATTTACCTTGATTTGTTGTGTTGCAGCAACAAGTAAGCAGAAACTCTCCCTCATCTGCACCAACTGTACTATTCCTTTGTGCTGTATTCTTCATGGATTTTTTTTCAAGTCCCTAAACTCTAGAGGGTTGTGAGAGGTGGGAAAGACCCACCTGCAAGTTTAGTGCTTTACAGTGAAGTGATGGGGCAGGCAGGTGGCAAATCCTCCTCGCTGATGTCCGCGGGTTAGGTCTAGCTAACGTTGGGTTAGGCATTCCAGTGAGGAATTCCTACCCAGCAAGAGCAGTTCTCCTTTGACCTGCCTTCTGATAGATACATAAAGGAGATAAAGTCTCAAGTGTGATACTTTTGTCAGAAGGATGTATAGACAAGTGCCATGTACACCCAGGAATGACATCAGGACACCTGTGCCGCTACATCCCGGAAAATGACGGAAGTTCCTTTTTTCCTATTGCGTATCACTCAGTTTAGCCCATCACCCTGAGACCTGCACTCAGCCCTGTCTTACTTGCCTTAAAGACATAACAGAGGTGAGGCCAGAGAGGAAGACAGCCCAAGGTACTCAGTGCAACCCTGAATTGCCTTTGGGTGTATGTCCCGCATATTGTTTTCCACCCTGGCCCTCTCTAGACCCTCAGTAATTACCTTTGCTAGTAAGTGACTCAGCATGAGTTCTGATGGGTAAAGCGGGAATTATGGCTATCAGCCATGCTGGGTTGTAGTACTAGAACATCTGTCGTGCATAGGCTAGGCTGTGACACTAGTTCAGCATTATGGCCGAGTCTGGTTCTTATGTCTCTAGAATCTGACATGAAAACACCCCATAACACTTGCACTGAATCTGAATGCCCACCCATCTCACCCCCAGTGACAACAAGCTCATAGTGGTTCTATCACTCAGCAATTCCCCAGGCCTGCTATAATCCATCATGGATGTGTCTGTCTACAACCTCCCCATCAGAGGAACTACTTGCTGAGAGCAGGCTGAAGACTCACTTGTATCTCGGAAGATGAGGCAGAGCTCAAGAAATGGATCTTGATGGCCATCACAATTTCATCTGCTAGGGCTTTGGTTTCCCTTGAGAAATGTAGGGGAAGCTGGTCAACTAACTGTAACCTGGATCCTTCCTCCTAACATCAAGGTTCGAATATATACATATATTCTCCAGACCCTCCTTTATCTGGCCAGCTCAAGTGTCACCCAACCTCAAGTCCAACTACTACACGAATACAGAAATAGTAATGTCTCACATTTTCTACTTAACATTTGTGTCTCATAGTTCGTCCCCAGTACAAAAAAGCAAAGCAACAGGGCTGGAGAGATGGCTCAGTGGTTAAGGTCACTGGCTCCTCTTCCAGAGGTCCTGAGTTCAATTCCCATGGTGGCTCACAACCATCTGTACAGGGATTGATGCTGTCTTCTGGTATAAAGGAGTACATGCAGATAGAGCACTCATATACATAAAATAGATTTTTAACAAGCAAAGCAATAAAACCAAAGTGTTTTGCCCTGCATTCAACAGGTGGAAACACACCTCTTTGACATCCATCAAAAATTGTTCATGCCTCATAACAATATGGCCATGTTTCTCAAAATGACACATGGTCCAGCTATATTTCGCATTTAGGAATTGAACCAAAATATACACACATATAATACAAATATAAGATAACTGAGCAAAACACTGGGATGAGTCTTCTGAACACTGCCCACGTGATTCTGTCTCCCAGGACACTCAAACTATTGGGTAAATAAAGATCTAAGACAGAACACTGACTCAGAGATAGATTAGAAGACCCTGAAACATGTAGTTCTTATGTATGAGTGTTGCCTTGTGTCTTTGGTGGCAATCATCCACTGAGAACTAGATGGGTTTTTAGGACCCAGAGGGGTAAGGTAGCTGCCATCCAGGAAGTTAGGTTGTCCCTGGATCACAGATACAGCACAGGAGATGTCAGAATACTGGCATGACTGGGCTCTTAGCTTCTCCAGGATGTGGATGTCAGGATTCTGTGTCCAGCTAAGGAAGAGAGACAGAGATGGGAGCAACCTCCTATGTAACAAATGTGCCCTAAAATTCAGTGTGTGCCTCAAGCTAGCTGTCTTCGGCCAGGTGGGCTAGTGTCCTTTCTCCACAGTCCCTTCTAACTCTGCCCTGGCAACCGCCAGGACCTTGCTAATGGCCTCATTCTTTGTTGATGATTTGTCACACAAGGGCCTTTCTCCTATGGACCTCTTCCATGCTTTCATGAGACAGTAGCTAGGTTTTGTTCTCAGATCCCTGAAGAGGTAGAATTGACCTTCCACTGATTATCTGTAAGCCCGGGAGTGCTGTAGTCCGGGCCCTATCCTGAGTCTGTTAGCCACAGATGAATCATGGAAGGAGTAAAGGCTGGGACAGAGTAAACAGCGTGGCATGAAGAGTCGAGTATAGTCACTGAGGTTGGCACTGCCAGCTGCGGTCTTGAATCCTGACTGAGGAGCCCTCTGGGGAGATACTGAAGCAGCTCATCTGCCCTCGCCCAGGCCCTGTCCCTTTGCGCACCCACCTGCCCTTAGCAGGAGCAGTCACAGCATCACAAAAATGAAAGATTCCTGGGTTCTAGACTCTTTTTTTCACAGGACTCAAATCCTGGAAGTCAGAAATTCCAGTTACCATGCAGAAGGTATTTCTCATCCTCATCCTGTAAAGAGTTGTCAAGGCCCTTGAAGAACAAGCACTACCACTTTCCAAAAAGAACTGTGGTAAGGCCACACTCAGCTACTGTCCATCTAGATAAGTCCATGTGCAAAGCATGGCTTTTTAGGACAAGGAAGAGATAGTAAAACTTCTAGAAGGGTGCACACAGTGGATACAGACTCAGCCTGGTGAACTCCCAGCCAAGCCAGAGGTACGTGGAGCTGCAGGGTTCCTGCAGGCATTAGGATAGGCCTTCGGAAAGGAGAGATGAACTCAGGCGAAGATGCTCCAGGCCTCCACGATGTGTCAAAGTCAGAGACTGTAAAGTAAGGATCAGAGAAAAAAATATCAATAATCTCTCCACACTATATACTGGTAGGACAGTCAAACAGTAAAGAGAAAGTGTAATTAAGAATGAAAGAGGCATAAGGTGTGTAAGTATGATTTGTCAAGAGGAATAGGGAACAGTTTTGCAAGATGGAATGTGAGCCCATACACATGGTCAACACAGGCCACTAGGAAATGAACATTTGATTCAGATCCATATGCCAGCTTCTGCAACTCTTCTGCACTGAGAACAAAGAAGAAGGAAACATGCTGTTTTACTTTTTGGTTGTGGTTTATCCACTCAAGGGGCCAACTGATCTCTTCTGAGTACCTTCAGTTGTCAACTTGACAGTCTAGAGTCACCTGAAAAGGTAGCCTCAATTGAGGAGTTGGCTGGATCAGATTTTCCGGGGCCGGGAGAGAGGGCAGGAGAGCTTGGTTACTGATGTAGAAGGTCCAGCCCATTGTGGACAATTCCCTAGACAGATGGACTCAGAATGTATAAGAAAGCCGAGCATTGAGTTCCTGGTCTGACTTTACTCAAGAAATTAACTTTGGCCTGTAAGCTGGTTAAACCCATTTGTTCCTGAAGTTGTTATTGGTCATGGCATTTGTCACCTAGAAAACTAGAACATGCTGTAGTCTTGATAGACTGTGTGGCATAGTCACTGGCTGCAGGGCTGTTGCTGGGAAGGTAAAAATATGCAAAGTGCTTGACTCTGGAAAACCAAGGTGGTAACTTGATGCAATAAGTGGTTGTGGATAACAATATGCTGAGGAGATGCAGGCAAATGAGCAGAACTTGATTTTGCATTAAATTAACTTTGAAATGGTTTTATCATAATTTTTGATATATAGACAAATGTCTGAGCCTGGTCTTTTAGGAACCCTGGAGCTATGTCTTTGGCCCTAAAACTTCTCACTAGAGCACACTCCTGCAGTCTTCTTAGTGAGAAGATCAAAAGCACCAATGAGACAGGGAATGATGAGACATGCTTGTGATCCCAGCACTTCCTTAG